GATATCAAATGGTGTCCTTCTGGATTCTTGACTGCTCTTCAGCTGAGAGTCGAGAAATCTCAAGGAGATGGTGACGACACGGCCGCAAACAACATCATGTGAGTTTGTGCTGTGCTAAAAATCCTTTAGCCTAATTTGGTGCTCTAAAATGACTGGTCTTTAACAAATTGCTTGTAAATTATTATTATTATTATTATTATTATTTTTATTATTGTTGTTAACTATCATCACCAAATCTTACTGGAATTGATTGCAGGGCTCCAGACTGCGACTAAAGTGGTTGCATTTGTGACTAAAAATATTAATTTGTGTATTTTTGCTGAAGTCGCCACGGGCAAGTGGCTGTGCACATCAAAGTTTTGGTGAGAAAACGACCAGCGCTAACGGTGCACGTGCTAAAAGCAGATCTGGTTGTGGCATTGGTGGTGTTGTGATAATACTGTATACCGTGATAAAGCTTTAGCAATTATTGCAACAGGAAAATCTGATAGCGTCACAAGCCTAGCTCCCACTTTAAGTGAACCTGAGTTCCCAGGACATCTACAATACAAGATGGATTAAAATGCTGATAAACGCATGAAAAGATGAGACCAACACATGTATGATTAATGTTAAAATGTTAAATTATAAAAAGAGAAAATTTATTCTGTGGCACTTAAATTTTTTTTTAGGTGCAAGTCAAATGGCAAGTTCCAAGAGTTTGTTTTGCCTTGTTTTGTTTGTATTGATTGAAATAACATATTTTATCATAATGTTGTCACATCCAAATTTCTTCCAGGTTCATATGCAGTCAAGGGCATTTACTGCTGGGTGACGGCACACACTGGGGCGACTGGGGCGACTGGAGCCAAACATGTCAAGGAAAGGGAATTTGTGGTATCAAGACGCGGATAGAAATGCCGCAAGGACGCGGAGACGACACCGCTCTCAATGACGTGCGCATGTTCTGCTGCGATTAAGGTGATGTGAACGCAATCAAACACTCGGATCACAGCTGTTTGGATCTCAGTGATGTTAGTGCTGGCTTATCGGAGTTTGGCTTTTCTTTCAGGTGTTAGAGGACAACAACAAGAACAGCAAGAAGATCAGATGGATCATAATAATTGATCAGCATACTGTTATGAGCTCCCATGAACCATGTCATACAACATCAAGTCATTAACACAAAATAAAGCATGTGATCAGGACCTCAACACAAAGCAGAGGTCGACTGTACATCATCTCATTTATTACATGGCAATGCAAAGTGTGTTTTATCAGTTCATGCATTTCAAATCCACAATCTCCGTATACTCGACATTAACTGTAAAGCTGTCAACCCGGTTACCTGTCATTTTTCTGAGGGCTTAATTATATCCTAACATCTATTAAAATATATATTTAGCTTGAAATGACATCTTCGCTGACCTGATATTTCTTTGCATCTCATTCTTTAATTTTTTTTAATTTCTCATGATTGACTAATCAAAAAAAAAATGAAGAAATGCTTTGTGAAGAATAGGCGCATTTCCAATAACTTTAATTCAAATGATTTGAATAAATGATTTCTGTGAACCTATTAAATATCAACATAAAAATTGCATTAAATAAAAATTTCCCAAAAGGTCCAAGCAATGCAATTTGAAAGGAGCTTTTTTATGGAGTGCAAACAGCTGATAAAAACATCACAATAATCCACAAGTAATCCACAGCACTCCAGTCCATCAGTTAACATCTGGAGAAGACAAAAGCTGAAACAAATCCAGCATTAAGACGTTTTTAACTAAAATACATCGAGTCCATAATCCATAATAATGCTTCCTCCGGTGAAAAAGTGATTTGGTCTGAATCAGGAGAGAAATCTGCACAGATCAAGCAGCGTTTAAACAGCTCTAAACAAATATGTGGCTGGATTTTGATGAGAGAGACAACAGCAGATGCACTTTTTCATTGCAGGAAGCGTTATTATGGATTATGGATTATGGAATCGTCTTGATGTTTTTATCAGGTGGGGCCAGTTGCATAAACATAGTCACTATGTTAAGATTGTGTCTTAAGAACTAGTTTGACCAACTAGCAGTTAGCCAAGAAGTAACTAGTCTTACTTTTTAATTCAAATTAGCCCAGTCTACCTTTTTGTAACTGATTTTAAAAAGTTATGACCAGTCTAGAAGAAACAAATTACATGACTAACTTTTTAAGACTAGTCTAAACAGTTTATGCAACCGGCCCCTGTTTGGACTCTCATTCTGACGGCACCCATTCACTGCAGAGCATCCATTGCTGAGACACTGATGCAGTGCTGCATTTCTCCAAATCTGATGAACAAACAAACTCATCCTGATCTGGGATAGCCTGAGTGTGAGCACATTTTCACCAATTTCCATTTTTGGATAAACTATTCCTTTAAGGAACCTACTCTACAGTATTTATTTGTCTTTAAAACCTCAAGAAAGATAATAAAAAATGTAAACTATCAAGCAAAGTTGTTTCAAAGGGCACATGCTTTTACTAGCAATGCGAAGCATTTGAGCAGTCAGTGTTTGTCTAAAGTGCGTTTATTGACTTCACAATCATTTAGTTTTGCATTATTGTCTTGAACGATAATATGGTGGCTTGATTTTGATGAGAGAGACAACAGCAGATGCACTTTTTCATTGCAGGAAGCGTTATTATGGATTATGGATTATGGAATCGTCTTGATGTTTTTATCAGGTGGGGCCAGTTGCATAAACATAGTCACTATGTTAAGATTGTGTCTTAAGAACTAGTTTGACCAACTAGCAGTTAGCCAAGAAGTAACTAGTCTTACTTTTTAATTCAAATTAGCCCAGTCTACCTTTTTGTAACTGATTTTAAAAAGTTATGACCAGTCTAGAAGAAACAAATTACATGACTAACTTTTTAAGACTAGTCTAAACAGTTTATGCAACCGGCCCCTGTTTGGACTCTCATTCTGACGGCACCCATTCACTGCAGAGCATCCATGGCACTCAGAAGTTTTTACAAACACTGATCGATAATGACTTTTAAGTAAAAGTGTTGTATTAATTGTCATGTGTAGCTTGAAGCTATAATTTCTTTGTCAAACAAACTCATCCTGATCTGGGATAGCCTGAGTGTGAGCACATTTTCACCAATTTCCATTTTTGGATAAACTATTCCTTTAAGGAACCTACTCTACAGTATTTATTTGTCTTTAAAACCTCAAGAAAGATAATAAAAAATGTAAACTATCAAGCAAAGTTGTTTCAAAGGGCACATGCTTTTACTAGCAATGCGAAGCATTTGAGCAGTCAGTGTTTGTCTAAAGTGCGTTTATTGACTTCACAATCATTTAGTTTTGCATTATTGTCTTGAACGATAATATGGATAAACACTGATTCTGTAGCTGAATGTATTTATTTCTTCATGCAAATTACTATGACTTCAGAAGTCAAGTTGTGTGAAAATAGTTCTAGTTAAATTTGTCTCTCGTAAGAAAGAAAATCATACGGGAATCGGACCGACATGAAGTTGAGTAAATGATGACAGGATGGTCATTTTAGCTGAGCTTTTCCTTGCAAGAGTTGATATTTACTGCAGGAAAGCAAAAAAGTTGTTTTTAATGTTGAGCTAATATTCTCTGTGTTGAGGTACATGCTTAGTATTTCTCTCTGAACTCTCCAAAATTACAAAATCAAAGCAGCAACTTAACATTTTATGGGAATTTTACCAAGTAAAACACTCCAAGCACACTAACAGTTTGTGTTCAGTGCTCCTGGCTGCTGATTGGCAAATATATATATGCAATATGTACTATTTGTTTATGCATTATTATTTAACATCCTTTAACAAGTTGGCATTTTTTCTTTATTTAAGCAAAAGCTGCAGGGTTTAACTGCAATTGTTTTTGAATTATAAATATATAAATTTAAATAATTTGTACTTTTGTACAAATGTTGTTTTCTTTTAGCAAAAACTCACTTCATTTTGATATATTTTTCATAATACAAGACATGTTTTGTCATTTTGCTTCTCAAGTAAATGTATCTTGATTTAAGAATGTTTAGATATTTGTACTGGAGAACAAGACCAAAATACTGAGGAAGAAAATATATATTTTTTTTTTTCCCAATGCAGTAAGAATGAACTATGTTTAGTCACCTAATTTAGTTAGTCTATTATTATTGGTAAGTTAACTCTGTTCCCAATGGACAATTGTTTTAATGTGTTTGCTGCAATGAAAGGCCTGTTTTAATGTATCAGCATTAAAGTCTCTTTCTGAGAAGCACCTTGAAGTCCCACATCCTTTATCACAACATTTTACATCAGATGTTTGATTACATTAGTGCATGTGGCAGACGGTTCGATCTAAAGCGACTTACACTGCATTCAAAGTAACTGTCTTATCGGTTCATGCATTTCCAGGGAATGAACAGTGAACTCTACAGGATCTCTACATTTATGAACAATACTGTCATCCGTGCTAAACTCTGTTACCTTTCCGAGGGCATATTTATATCCTACACTCTTAAAAATAAAGGTTATTTGTTGGCATTTATGGTTCCATAAAGAAACGTTAACATCCATGAAATCTTTCCATTCCATAAATGTTTCTTTATAGTGCAGAAAGGTTCTTTTGAATATGAACATGCTCTTCAAACAATTTTGTTTTGTTTTTGCTTAAAGGTCCGATTTCTGCTTTACAGAATCAATTTTTCTTTAAAATCTTGTATAAGATTAAAAAATGTAAATAAAATGTCAAGCAAAGCTGTTTCAATGATCAGTCAGTGTTTGTCTAAAGTGTGTTTACATGCAGGTCATTAATAAACACTGATCTGAGTTTGTTCTGTGGATATTTATTTCTTCATGCAAAGCATCATATGACTTAAGAAGACTGTTAAATTTCTTATTTCTTATTCTAATTAAATATATATTTTTATATACTTTTCTTATTTCTTAAGCTTCACGTTTGACTTCCTGTCACTTGTGTAACTTCCTTTCATTGTGTGCACATCATGGTCAAACCTAGACAAAACGAGAACTAGATCTCAGACACAATGGTACACACGTATGATAACGGCAACAAAGCACACACACACACATATATATGCTCGTACACACATCTTAATTGTAGTTATATTTCTTAATATCCATATAGGGTCATGTTTGACCTCTGACTACTTTGATTGGATGCCGAGAGCATCAAATATGACCCATCTTCTTTAATAAAGTTGAGAATGTTATGGTAGTACATTGGCTCTTTGTGTCTGCTTGATCAATTAATTTCATCAGTATTTTAATCGATCAGGCCAGTGCTGTAGCAATGCATCACTTCATTTCCCTGATGTTTTTCCAGATCAGAGCTGACTGTGCTGAATGGGATGAACTGGGGGTCGTGGGGGTATATCGACATCTGCCCAACTGGAACGTACACTGCAAGGTTTAGTCTCAGGGTCAGTCAGGCATTGCATCTACTACAGTGATATGAGGTGGCTTCATGGTTAAACATGTAAGCTGGTGACTGATCATTGAAGGTTCAAACCTCAGAAAGACTTAAGTGCCTGCTTAATACTAAAGAACACAAAGATGAATGTTACTGTGGATTGTGCTTTCAAATGGAGGATTGTCTGTCGTTGTCTTAAAGGGATAGTTCACCCAAAAATGAAAATGTGATGTTTATCTGCATATTCTCCATCGCTGATATGTTCTGGTATCAGCCATACATTTCGGGTTGGCCTCGACTCCAACAGCATCCATGTCATAAAGGCCTTAAATCGCCTGAACCCCAGTAATCGCTGCTTGCAGCTATATTTTTTTATTGAAAATGTTTTGTGGGTGACTGCGCTGTCAGTTGAAACACCCCAAAGAGTTTAATGCATTATTTTTGCATGGACAGATGATTGGCTGTACAGACGGATGGATAGAGAACACACCAGCAGCTCAGTCATTGTGATAGCAAGTAATTAAAATACTTCACGTAATACCTTTAACAGGTTTTGTAAACAACGTTTCCTCTCAGGTCGATTGCGAATTTGCGTGTTATAATAATTCACCATTTCATTTTGTCCACCAATAAAATGTCTTAAGCAAACATGAACTGTGTGCACAAGCTACATCATCATACATCCGTTGGATATCAACCACAATACACATGAGAAACAGACATGTGCTGCAGATTAGTTCTGATAACATGCTGTATATAAGGCTGTAGCTGAGAAAGAGAGACATTTCGAAAAGATGGATCTCCTGCTGCTTGTCCTCCTGCTTGTGGCTCCTGCTCACTCCTGGCTGGTAAGAGTCCTTCTGACCTCACGATCTCAGATTTGATTCATTGCTGAACGGTCTCAGACATAAAGAAGCTAAAGCTATAATGCTGTTTT